TGTTCTATTATCCTAAACCATTCATGTTCTTTGAGTTTCCTACATTGTACTAACTTTTCACTTTAAAAGATGCATCACCTATCATAATTAATCAAATTTTCTTATAGTAGTTATCTTGTATATGCATCTTGATAGCAGTTATGATGTAGAACAATGTGGCGAGCTAGAGATGGGGATATTGATTTAAGGGATTAAAAAACTTGTTAATATAGGAAATTTAATTAAGGGAGGATTTTGAATTAACTCCTAATTAAAAAAATTCAAATTAGCCTGATTTGAGGGGGCTTCCTTAAATAACTTATAATATTTTAAGAAGCAATTTCAAATTCATATAGATTGGAATCTGAAATTTAAAATTTCCTAAATTAAGATTCACCCAATATGGAAGGTAATGAATACCCAATTTGAAATTGTGGAGGCAATGTAAAGGGAGATTTAAATTTGAATCTTCTCTAAATAAAGGAGAGAGGGAAGTGTGGGCCAGCCCTTTATTGAGGACTTAATTGGATGATAAAAAGAAGGGTTGTCAAGTTAGGCAATTTAAATTTGGAAAGGATATTTAAATTATCTCCCACTTAAATTCAAATAGACATGATTTGAGGGACTTTTCTAATTTAGGTTTCCTCCTTTAGGAAATAAAATTAAAATTCAAATTCAATTGAATATGAAATTAGATAGTTTCCAAAATTAAATGGAGCTATTTTAGGAAAGGTTTGAATGCTGAATTTTGAATTTGGAGCCAAAGGGAGGGGGTGTTGGCTGGCAGCCTTGGGAATGGGATTGGGGTTGGCAGTTGGTTGATGTTCGGTCTTGGCGTTGGGTGGAGGGTCTCGGCCAAGGTAGGAAATGCAAAGGGGGGTGACTGCTAGGGTTGAAGAAGGGAGGGAAGTTGGTTACGGGTTTGGGACAAGGTGGTCAGCGGCAAGGTTTAAAATTGCGTAATTAAGCCTTGAGGCGGTGTGAGGCGTAAGCCTCACGGACGCAGAATTGCGTAAATAAGAATTTGAAAATCCAAAACACACAAAAAAATAAAAAAATCAAAAACCATATATTTTCTTTCACTTGAAAAATCTAACCCTAAACTAAAAAAAATACCTAAAATCGATTGTGGAGTACTCCTAGAGGGCGGCCGGACACTTCAAATTCGCCGGCGGGAAGGGAAGCCGACCGTGCGAGAACCCCTCTGTTTCGCGAACACAGGCTGCGGGAAGCGAAATTTCGGGATAACCTGGAGGTCGTGCGGGATTAAGGGGAGAAAATGCTTCATTTTAAATGGGTGGGGCCGGTTCTATGAGGCGTACGCCTCACCCAGAATTGCGCAATTGCGCCTCTGAGGCGCGCCTCAGACCAGGTGAGGCGTACGCCTCTGCCAGGAGAGGAATTGCGTAAGCCTCGAGGCGTTTTTGGGTCAAATTGCGCAGAGGCGTGCCTCTTATTGAGCAATTTTAAACAGAGGTCAGCGGTTTTGGATGAGGGCAGAGGGTTAGGTGGGTCTCGGTCAAGGTGGAAAGAGGGAGTTAGGGGCAGCGGCTAGAAGAAAGAAGAAGGGGAATTAGATAAGATGATAAATCACGAGTCCGGACGCTTCCTGAGGTTGATGGGTAATATTTTGCCCTCATCTAGGGACTTCAAACCATGAGCCCGGACGCTTCCTGCGATTGGTGGCTATTGCGTTGCCATCACATAGGGACTTCAACTCTTATAAGAACTATCAATGCTCTTAAGAACAAAGTGCAGAATTTTCTCTTAATAATCATCCATCCCCTCAAAAAGAAGATGAGGGGGCTATAAATAGCCAAAATACAAGACAAATGACAAAAGTGCCCATCGGGTCACATAGGCCTACTCCCTCAAGTAAGGGTAAAAACAGAAGATGCATAAATAAATCAAAATACAAATAATAACTCAAAATAAAATGGTACAATCGTGGTCGTTGATCTTCAGCTTCTCTGATAAATTTTCATGGTTGGATGTCCTCAATCCTCATCATTCTCTCAGGGTGGAAAAAGAGCTCTACTCTATCGAGTACGCATCCCGGGAATGCAACCATGCTCTGATACCAAAATAATGTAAAACCAAGCTAGTCATGATTGGGGTGGGATTATTGATTTAATAGAGTTGCCAATTATAATCTCTCAGTTAAGGAAATATGAATTAAATCAAATCCCAAATCTGAAGTTAATTTGGAGTAATTGATTGACAGACTTAATTGGGAGGAGCAAAAGGGGAAAGGGAGAGAGGGAGAGGCCGACCCTTTTGATGGATACTTGATTGGAGTGTTTTATAACTTTTTTTTTTATTTTATTTTTGAGTGCTTTATAACTTGGTTAGAAAATATTTGGAATGACCTTTCTTTATTAGATTTAAATGAGAATTTGACTTTTAATAGGACATAATGGAGGAAAAGGATTCATGTAGCCGACCCCACGTAGTGGGATAAAGGCTTGATGTTGTTGTTGTTGTGAGTGTTTTATAACTTGTTAATCATAGGCTGTCAATTATGGGAGGGGAAATTAAGGCCAATCTCCCATTAAATTCAAATTAGTATGATATGTGGAGATTTCTTAATATAACTCATGTTATTTTAGGAAAGGGATTTCAGATTTTGAATAAATTAAAATCTGATTTGATAACCTTCCTAATTTAAAATGCGCTAATTATATAAAGTAGTAACTATGCATTTGAAATTTAAAATTTGAAATCAAAAGGGAGAGGTGGGGTGTTTAATTCTTGTCAGTCTTGAAATATTAATTAAGAAAAGAAATTATGATAATTATCTATTTGAATTTCAAATAGTATGATTGGAAGGGCTTTCCTAACATAACTCTTTTCTTTTAGGAAAGAGATTTCAAATTCAAATTCCTTCCTAAAATACAAATAACATCATCATCAACAACAACAACATCAAGCCTTTATCCCACTACGTGGGGTTGGCTACATGAAGTCAAATTCTCGTTTAAATTTAATAAAGAAAGATCATTTCTAGTATTTTCTAACCAAGTCTTTCTAGGTCTGCCTCTACCTTTCTTAACATAAGTCAAATCTAATACCTCTACTTTCTTAACCGGGTCATCGGAAGGCCGCCATTTTATGTGACCAAACCATCTAAGGCTACTCTCTCTAATCTTATCTTCTACTGGAGCTACTCCAACATTTTCACGTATATGTTCATTTCGTATCCTTCTTAAAATAAGATAAGTTATTTAAGGAAGCCCCCTCAAATAAGCTAATTTGAATTTTTTTAATTAGAAGTTAATTCAAAATTGTTAATTAAATTTCATATGTTGGCAAGTCTTTTAATTCCTCAAATCAATGTCCCCATCTCTAGCTCGCCAGATCGTTCTACATCAATTTGGTATCAGAGCGAGATGAAGGTGGCGGCTAGGGGAGAAGGAGAGGGAGTCAGTGGAGAAGATAAACCACGAGCCTGGACGCTTCCTGTGGCTGATGGGTAATACTTTGCACTCACCTAGGGACTTCAAACGACGAGCCCAGACGCTTCCTGCCACTGGTGGGTAGTACGTTGCCCTCACATAGGGACTTCAATTCTCATATTAACTCTCAAAGCTCTTAAGAACAAAGTGCAGAATTTTCTCTTAATAATCATCCATCCCCTCAAAAAGAAGATGAGGGGGCTATAAATAGCCAAAATGCAATAATAAGACAATGGACAAAAGTCCCCCTGGGGTCATATAGGCCTACTCTCTCAAGTGAGGGTAAAAACAGAAAAATGCATAAATAAATCAAAATACAAATAATAACTAAAAATAAAGTTATACAATCATGACCGTCGATCTTCAGCTTCTCTGATAAATTTTCGTGGTTGGATGTACTCATCAAATTATAAACATCTTGATGGCAAATATAAAAGAATATAGACATGTAATGCAATCCTACCTTGATTGGAAAATCTTTGATTATTGGAAAACTGCTTTTAATGTTAGGAATTGTTGTGTCATGTGTGTTTTATAACTTAAATGTACTTTGATAGACTTTTTTTCTCTTTAAAGCCTACCAAATCAATTCATTTGAAACCTGATCATGTCTTCTATTGATCCATAGCAACTCATATCAAGATCATTTTGTTGTTGTTTATATTATTCATCAAGAATCTAAGAAAAAAACTAATCCACATAGTTGATTTTTTATGGCATAAAGTTGAATTGATACTTTACAAACATGATTTGAGACTATGTTCCTTAATCCTTTACATAACTTAATTGTATGACTCATAAGCTTGAAACTCCTCTAATTACCATATAGCTGATAATCTGCTTTGTGCTCGACAAATTGGCACTAAAATGTTTTCTTTAATATTTCATGAAAGGAATTTGTTGCCCTTGCCCTAAGTACTCTACTATACTCATTTAATCTATATGAGGCTTAAATTTCATATTTCTCTAATTATGATATATCTGACTATTCATGTGCTAAAGAAAACTCTGAAATGTTTTCTTTAATATTTCATTAAAGGAGTTTTCCGGCCAAATTATGCTACTTTCTTCCATAATTCATTTAATCTCTAGCTCATTTGGACCTAATTCTGTACTTTTTATGCATCTTTTTAAAAATTAACTTATAATTTTTTTATCAATCTACATAATATTTCATAATCCTGCTAATTTTGCTCTAATTTTTGTATTGATATTCACATCTAATTATTTCTCTTATTAGCATTTTGATGTTGTCTTGAACCAAGTATGGAATTCACAATTGCAGATCTCACTTTCTATGATGATTTTGTGAACTATTGTATAAAATTATTCAACATTGCCTCATGATCATGTCGCAGTTACATTGATGATGGTCCCAAACATCTGACAGTTTCGATGTTACTGGAGTTTTCTTGTGACATGATGCCATTACATAACATAAACATCAGAATTTCTCACTTTATTATTTATGCCTTCTCCATTTAATTTGGAAACAATCATCTTGGTTTGAATATATCTTAAATGCAATCGTGCTTGCTTAGATGGATATCTAATTCTAAATAACAGATGTGTTGTGAGTGGTGCTGGGAAGATAGCAATGCATGTCCTCGAGAAGCTTCTTGCTTGTGGTGCTATACCCATCACAATCTCAGGTAGTGTTTAGCACCTGATTAAAGCTTTACTATATAAGGGAATAATGTTAGGAGGTAGCTCTGTAATGATTTAAACTCTTGCAGTTGTATATATTCATTTTCTATCCGGTAATGAACTTTCTTTTATTTTATTGTGTTTACTGGATCTTTTGTTAATGCTTTTGTTTCTTATTCTTTTATTTTATTGCGTTTACTATATCTTTTGTTAGTGTTTTTTTTTTTTTGAACTATTGTTAGGTTATGGTGCATCTTCACAAGTTTAAATTGTTACATCTATGTATAAAAACTGATTCTAGGTTGTCCCACGACTCTTGTTCTGTACTTTCATGGTTGTTGTGGATGAGCTACCATCAATAAAGCCAAAGATTACTAGGGCTATGCTACAATACGGATGTGGGGATTTGGGTACCCTCCAAAAACTATGAATCAAACACATTTTAGGGGCATATTAATGAATATTAAAATGTCACTAAGAATAAATTAGAGAAGGTGGCATGATATAGAGAAGAAAAGAGAGATTCATGAGCAAGAGAGTAGGACACATAAATTGGAGAATTCTTAGGAGAGGGATGGGCAAATAATGAAGAAACTATAAAAAATGATAAGTGAACTTGTTTACGAGAGAAGGTGGAACTAAAAAAGCCTAAAAAAATTGAAATATGTAGTCTTGTTCCTATCGTATCTTAGTCACCTTCCTCTCCCTTTTTTTCGGCAGAGAAATTAATGGGGCACTATGGGCTTTAAAAGAAACTCAATTGGGTTGCGGTAGAAGGTTAGTTGTTACCGATCAACATATTTTATAAGCATATGAGAATCAATGGAAGACAGGTTTTATTTACCAGAGATTTCCCCGAAGTAATATAATAGAACTAATTAGAGTTTATTGAGTTTATGGGGTTTGGGATTTTCCATAAAAGCAAACTCTTATGGTTAATTAAAAGTCTCAAAAACTCAATTAAAGCCAATGCCTGGTTCTTTCCTATTGCATGCACACAGGGAAACAAAAGCAGAAATTGAAGGAAATAATTACAAATGAATGATGCAATGCATGCCAAAGTTTAGCTAGATTTCTTACTTCTCTAGTAGATTAGGGATTTCCAAGCTTAGCCAAAGTTCACAATGATTGAATTCTTACCACAGTAATAAAAATGTGATCAACATTTTAGATTTGATGCTTTTATGTCTCATCTGACTCATTTTAGAATGCGAGTTTTACAGTTACTTGAGGGGTGAGTTTAAGACAAAAACCTGACTTTCAATATCACATTGTGATAAAGCCATGAACTTAAAATTTATTTTAGGGACGTAGCGCTCTATTATGTTACAAGAGAGTTTCCCAAGGAGGGTCTTACAATAGAAACCCTACCTAGACTAACATGTTCGGTTTAGGATTGCGCAGTATTATTCTTCTGCTAGTAAATATTTCTACTATGGATCTTACAATCAAGAGGCTTGATAATTTGGTCTCATATCTTTTCTGAACCAAAAACACGAATTAACCCTCCTACCTGAATTATATGCAGGATAAGCTGATTGTTATTTTTTGCAAGTGAGACTTGCAATGATTCCTAGCTAAGCAAGAGTGTGGGTTTGGATGCAAAGATTAATGCAATTTTCTTTGATAGTTGTGGGCTCTAAAAATTTGCGCCCAGGCCTCCCCTGCTTTTCTTGGGAAGAGTTTTAACATATTAGGTTCCAGGGTAAATTTTCAGAAGGCATATTGGGTTTTAAATAAGACACTACCCAGAGATTTCGCCCTCATTTTGCGAGGACTTTATAATATGGGTTCTAGTTTCCTATTGATGCAAACCCATATAGTTAATTACCCCTCCCGATAGTGAGAGAGAACTTTCAATTAAGGCTAATCGTCAAAGGAATACATCGTATCCATAGATACGTGATATCCGACGTATAGTAGTAGCATTGGGTTTAGGTATTTGTAAATTTTATATTTAAAATTAAAAATTTCACCATCTTGCACTTAAAGCGGATGTTGGGGGGACTGATGATGAGCCTGATTAAGATCCCGTGGTTCCGTAGTCTCGAGCCATCATGGTCCCATATATACTTTATCAGAGGAGGAAGTCGACCCAGCCTGACAGAAGGATTCTTGTCAGCATCCATGGGTTGTGTCGTCCAAGGGTACTTTGTAGACTTGGGGTGGATGTTTGTCTAAGGGGATAAATTTGAATTCACTTTAGCTAACAGAGGGCTTTGTGCCCTATCGGGTATATCCTATTGATTCATATCTCAAGGATTTAACACAATTGGGGGGCATACGGGCGCTAGCCATGATCGTAATATATTGGTGTCGTTTGGGGGCAAACCGCCTGATACAGACGCCCCAGTCATAACCGTTTACCTGCGGTGCCATTTAGCAGCAAAACTCATGGTGTAGTGCCATTTGGCGGCAAAACCACCAGTTAGAGGACTCCTGCCACATCCTTACTAGCAAGAAACAGATTGAGAATTAATCCTAATTATATTTTTAATCAGATGCTATCTCCTTTTTAGTTGTAGTTTTTAATTTGTCTACCTCGGCTAACATTTGCAGAGGGTGGATTAGTGTTTGTGCTTTAAGTGTTTGGTGATTAGTTTTAATTTTAAATATCTCGAATTTTGGATTCTTGGAGTTTTGAATTTTATGGGAATTTGGGTAATATTTTAAATATTTGTGATCCCATTCGGTTGAGGTTTACATTCAACACGATCATCATCGCGGTGTTTGCGGTTATTTCAAAATATTTATATTTTATGGGAGTTTGAGGGCATTTGAAAATATATGAACCTCTCCGGTTAAGATTTACATTCAACATGACTATCATCGGGGAAATTAATGGGTTATATTTTTGTTTATTGAACTTTGTCAACTCTGTATGCTTTGCCTACAGAGGATCGAGTTCGAATCTAAATTCATTTCTTAGACCGCGCAGCCTCTTTGGACGTCACGTGTGTATTGACAACACGCTCATCGGGGTTCATACGAGTATATGCTATTAGAAGCATTTCGCACGATGCATTCACATGTGTATCTTATACGGTTTTTGAAATGCAATTGTTATGTCAATTGACACACCATAGTGAAACTGGTGGGGGCAAGAAATATAGGGAGCCTATACCCCTCGCCCACACGGGAGATTTGTGTCCTTAAACCGACGACAACCCACTAAATCATGAATGATGATGACTAAGATGAGGAAGAACAAACTCTTACATTTCAAATTAAACTAAAAAGAAGAAATTAAAAGACTACAAATGACGATCTAACAAACTCGAATCAAAAATCAAAGATACCCTAAAGTTGCTTCACTTAGAGAAGAGGGATACAGGTGGAGTGGCACTTCGGAGAGACGAAAGAGGTTAGAAGCCAAGACGAAATGTTGGAAAGAGCTCGCAAGATTTCTGGAGGGGATGAGAAAGATGACGGACAAAGCTCGCAAGCTTTTCCAATGAAACCCGCAGGTTCACATTTCCAAAAATCACATATCATTCACTATCTTTAAAACATTACAAGCCCCTCATATTTATAGGTATGAAAGGGGAATACAAAAGGACACTAACAATGAATTCACATAGGAATTCTAAACATCACAAACATTAAAACCCAAATGCTTTTCACGGAAAAATAGCCCAAGCCCAAGAATCGAAGGAGTAGCCGCGGGAGACAAGGAGGCCGCACGGAACCAAGGCGCCACATCCACGGGAAACATCCCAGGCTCGGAAAACCAGCAGTCGGCCAAAATTCCTAGGAGCAAAGGCACAAAAAACTAATGCTCATGGTGGAAGCAAGGAGCCACACATGCGAAATAACATATCTTGGAATTCGAAAGACCGGTTTGGAATTCCAAGGGACAAACATAATTAAAGACATAAAACAATAAAAAGTACATTTAATAAAAGATAACTGTGAACTAAAATGTTAGCTAATAATGAGCTAACTCTTAGTTCAATAAGTGAACTAAAGACCAGCTCATAAATGAGCTAAAATTTCAGCTCAATTTTGACTGAGCTTGTAAACTCGAGGGAGGCCAAAATTGATTTATTTTGGACATGAGTTGACCCCCCTTTGCCTACATCAGAAACCCCATGCATATGCATGAGAACGATTTTTGAAGTATAATTTGTGTCAAATGACACTGAAGTGAAACCCTCTGCATATTCAAGAGGACGATTTTTGAAGTAAAATTATAGTGTCAAATGATGCACTGGAGTGAAACCCTCGGCATATGCAGGAGGATGATTTTTGAAGCACAATTACAATGTCAAATAATATATTGGAGTGAAACCCTTTGCATATGTAGGAAGAAAATTTTGGAAGTGCAATTACAGTGTTAAATGACATACTTGAGTGAAACCCTCTACATCTTACCAATGCAAGCAAGAGGCCATTTTGGAATGCAATAGTGATGTCGGAATGACACGCTAGAATGAAATCCTCGGCATCGTACCGATGCATGCTAGGGTTCTTTTTGGAGTGCAATAGCAATGTCGAGGCAATATGTTAGAATGAAATCCTCAGCATCCTATAAATGTATGCGGAGAGGTTATCTTTGGAACATAGTAACAATGTCAAGTGACATGCCCATATAATGCATTCTACAAGTTATGACACATGCATATGGAACATATTATCATGCAAGTGCAATGCATATATAATGGGGCATTTTTAGAATATTTGCATGCGATGCAAGGGGTGTCTGGATGTATAGATGACTATTAGGGCTAAATGCGCGGAATTTTATTTTGACTTTGTTGATGCCTTTTGTCTGCTTGTATGACTGTTGAAGATCTGGTGGCGTGACGTTGCGCTTTAGCGGTCTTTAATTTTTTACCATCGATTCCCTGGTTTTGCTTATAAGTGCATCCGAATTCCATTAGATACCTCATTGTTTTGATGTAAGCTCCCTTTCATCATTCTTCGAGAGATTAGACCCACATATCAACTGATTCTTACTTAGATTGGGTAAAGACATCTAAACGACATGAGGTCATTTTTGTGA